TTTTTATATTTTGAAATAGGTCAATACGGATTCAGACACTTCAACGCAGTGTCAGTTTTCTGGTTCTGTTTTTTACATTTGAATTCAGACACTACGTTGCAGTGTCTGTTTCCTGGATACGTTTTTTTTCCATCACTCACTTATGCTTCACACATCGAGCCACTCTTGTTTTCTACATTTAGCTGTAGACACTTCAACGTAGTGTCTGTTTCTTGGTTCTGTTTTTTGGATATGGATTTAGTTGTTATGTTGTAGTGTCCATTTACTGGTTCGTTTTTCCATTCCTCACACATAGCCTACGTTTCACACCTCGCGTGCCTCTTGTTTTTTACATTTGGATTTAGACACTGTAACGTAATGTTTGTTTCCTTATTCTATTTTTTTACATTTGGATTCAAACACTAAGTTGTAGTGTCCGTACTCCTGGTTTTGGTTTTTTTTTTTTTTTTTTTTTTCCATCACTCACACGTCGCCTACCCTTCACACCTCGTACGACTCCTTTTTTTTATTTTTTTTTTAAATTTGGATTTAGACGATGTGTTGCAGTGTTCATTTCCTGATTCTCAGGAAGCTAATGTACGACCACTCCTTCCTGAACCCCATCGCCACCATCCAGTTTATGATCTTGTGGAGGTCATTGATGGTTCTTAAAAGAATCGTGATGTCATAGTCACTGATCGGCTAAGCTGTTGGTGAGGTATGGGCCACCTAAGACCTTTTGTTATCTCTATTATAAATAGGTAAAAGTTATAGAGATAACCTTTACTAGTGACAGGTGTGAAACAGGTGTAAAATATCACATTATAACTATAACACAAGGGAATGACTAATAAAAATGGGAGGAATAGATACTGATGTAATTTATCCTTCCTTTCTTTCTCTGTGTTTTGATTGAAGTCGAGTGCTTTATTTATAAAGCAACTAGCATTATTACATTTTAAAATTTACATCACATGACTTTGAAAATACGATCCTTTTGTTTCCAAAGTCTACATCACATTTGTGGACATTGAAAAATCTGTGTGGGCATTCATAACAATGCCAATGTTTTCAACAATCTCTAAATATATATTCAATTGGCTGATTAATTGGGAGGGAGCTAGTCTAAGAGAACAAAATATTGAATATGTCCGACCATGCCCCTACGCTAAAATCAAACAAATATTTCAACTAAACCTTACTAACTGAAAAGGAGATGTACAATGAGGAATGCAAAATTACAGATGTCAAAAATATGTCCACTTCTATATTGTATCTGCTAAACAGTTTAAATTTACTTACATGAAGGTCCATTGAGTGAAGTAATGGCATTGGAACTCTCAGAAGCAACAAATCCCACAACTACAAGATTTGCAGATGAAACCAAGAAAAAGCAGCTACTAGTGATGTTGCTAATTCGCTTAATTAACTCTAGGAAGATTTAGGTTGCATGAAGAGAGTGAATAATATATGTTGGATGTATTATTAGAGAGAGATGGAAAGAAGAAAGTAGAGATGGACGGAAGAGGTGAAGAGAGAGAAAGGAGGAAAAATCAAGTTAGACGGTTAGAATAGACTAGATAAAGATGAGCGAGGTGAGAAGATGAGGAAAAAAAAAAATGAATAGAGAAGTGTATAATAATTATTATCTAATTATTTTAAATTTATGTGACATGCTTAATTGATTTATTTATAATTATTTAATTGATTATTTTTAAAAATACTAATATATAGCTAATTAGTAAAAAAATATTGACATTTAGCTAAATAACCATTATCTTTTAATATTGATTTACTTCTTACAAGTTCATAAAACAACTCAACTACGAATTCAAAGAATCAAACGGTCAATTGACCAAAAAGAGAGAGAGAGAGAACCAACGGTGAACATTCAGTCTAGCTTTACTATATTCAGTAGATAATGAGAGCAGTTCCATCGTGGGTTATTGCCTGATAGACTGGCTCTCAAACAGGGCTAGAGAGCCCGAGTGGGGGGGGTCCAACGTGTGCTGGCGATGGAGCCCGAGCGGGCCCGAGGGAAAGGCCTGGCAGGAGTTACCAGCCCGAGAACCTGAGGGTTGTGTGACGTGTGCCTGATGTGCGGCATCGGTGATGTGCCAACCTTGACATCTCCCCGTCCTCATTCGATATGTTGGTTCAACTTATCCCCTTTCTTCTGAATACCAATTGCTTATCCCTCTCACCCCTTACCTTCCCAGATCTCAACATATCTCACAGTACACCCTAATCCTAGAAAACCCACTTTAGCTTTGAACTTAATTACACAAACCCAACAGCAACAACAAGAACTTCTTATCACTTTCACTATGTGAAATTGGACCTTTTCGTTGATGGGGTGGGTTGTGGCCTCATTGGATGGTTGGATGTGGATACGTGTGCTGGGGCAACCTTGGGTAGACGAAAGTTTGATGTCGAAATTTATTGAGCATTTTGGTCAAGCAGCTGCAGTGGAAGAGAAAGAGCGAGATAGAAAAGGATGTAAAATGTTTCATTAGTTTTACTTGGTTTAGGGTGATTAAAGAGTTAGAAGCAAATAAAAAATAATTTTTTTATATCAAATTTGAACTAATTCATGTGATTATGAGTCTTCTACATGCGTCTAGAGTCTTCTCCAACATCAAGAATAATTTTTTTTTAATATAAAATAAAATTCTCTTTAGTAAAAAAAATTCAAGACTAAAATTTCTTAAAATAATTAACATATAAAATAATTAGTTAAAATAATGACACGTGGTGCAACGAGTATGATTAAAAATATTATTGGAAATCCATCACCAATAATTGTCTTTTGGGATTTTATGACAAATGGCGCAATGAGAACGATTAAAAATCTTATTCGAAATTACACCACAATTATTTTGTATTATTTTATAACTTTTCGGATAATGGCACGTGGTGAAACGAGAACGATTAAAAATCTTATCCGAAATTACAAATAAAATTATTTTGTATTATTTTATAAATAAAAAAAATACTAATATTTTATTGTCTATTGCCAGGGCTATTGAAGTGCAACAGTGGAGATGCAAAAGACGATTACTGTTCATTAAGGGCATTTACTGTTCATTGGATGGATAACATAGTGTATTGCCTGGGGGAAGGGTTCCCACGCTGAAACTGCTCTGATTAAGTAGGTCTTGCTAGTCCTTATTATTAGTAGATGTTAGTGGAAAATTTGGGAACCAGATCCCTTTGGACCCAAAAGAATTGAACTCAATAATCAAATGATTTGGACCATTAAAATTTGATCTAATGGTTATAATTATTATAACTTTTAGAAAGACCCCTGCTTATAGCCGTTAGATCAAATTTTAATGATTTAGATTATTTGATGAGTAGATCCGGTTCCTTTCGATCCGAAGGGGATCCGTCTCTAATTAAGTCCTTTTGACGAAAAGTATATCATACCAGACAGATGCCTCTCAGGTGATCTATTGTTCAGTCAAATAAAATTCATCTGTACCACGTTGCTTTATGTTAATTGTCAACTTAGACGGCAGGTGTGTGTGTGTGTGTGTGTATGTACTTTTGACGAAAAGTATATCATACCAGACAGATGCCTCTCAGGTGATCTATTGTTCAGTCAAATAAAATTCATCTGTACCACGTTGCTTTATGTTAATTGTCAACTTAGACGGCAGGTTTGTGTGTGTGTGTGTGTGTATAATATATATATATATATATATATATATATATATTGGTTTAATCGCCAGTCAAAGCAGCCGCGTGAGGTGGTGATTTCACTGAAGGGGACAGAGGGATAGAGCATCAAAAAGATTAACACAATGCATGTGGTTCCTTGCCGTGCAGGTTACTCAACGTAATTGTCCCATATCTATCTCACTATAAATGAATCAACGACAGAACCACAACGTACTTACCAATTATTGAACTATTTGATCAGGTAATTCAAGCCTAAAGTGAAACCAAAAACAGTTGCATTCCCTTGCTCTTCTAAGAACTCTTCTTTGACGCTAGCTAATACAAGAGGTCTCAATCGAGTGAAAAAGGTCCAAAGCGTAGGCACAATGGCTGTTTTCTCAACATTTCTCAATTGCTTCATGCCATCTTCTCAGGTCTCCGATGAAGCAATAGGCTCCACAAGTGGAAAAGTGCCCTCATCAAAGAAATCCAAGAAAAACAAGTCGTCAAAATCATCGTCATCGGAATCTCCCATACTAGTCTCTTACTTTCCCCAGAATTCATATCTGTCTCGGTTGTAAATTTATTATCATGAAAATTGTGGTTCTCATGGGGAGTTAATTTCAACATCAATAGTAGTTTTTTTTAGTACATTTTTTTGGAAAGTGAAGACTGTTTCTCTTTAGTCATACATACGATTCATTGTAATCATGATCCATTAATACAAAATCAGAGTTTTTCACTTAATATTTCTCTCAATTGAACCCAAACAGATTAGGGTTTTCAGGTTTCATTTTCATCTACAAAGGGTACCTTTACATTTAAGATGGAAGATGAGGGTTAGGTATTTATAGAATTTTTTTTTTTAAAATTTTCTGTATTTTTTAATAATTTTTCTGTATTTTTTTCATAATTTTTAATAAATTTTAATGTAGTTAATTAATTTGGACCGTTGGATTTGAAAAATATCCAAATCCAAGAGCCAAGGAGCTGTCATGTGGCCAACGGTCATAATTCTGACCGTTGGGCCTTTTTTTTTTCATTTATTTATTTATTTTTGGGGAAAAAACGTGGACGGTTGATAAGTGATTGGACGGTCCATTTTAAAAGTAAAATTAAAATTTGTTTGCTCTTCTTCTAGGCCTATTGTTGGAACCAAAATTTTGCACCACCATGGATGGAAGAGTTGTGCGAGATCAGCTACCTACATGAGAGAACAAACAACCTTAGTTTTTCGGCGTTGTACCTCATTAGACTGTGGTACTAATTGACTACTCCAAATATAGATAATTAACATGCCGTCTCTCTCTCTCTCATGTGTATTAAATCTATAAATGCATATCACGTTCCAACAAGACCACCATTCCTCTTCCAATTCTACGTAATTGAAGATGAAGTCTCAGCTGCAAAATCCCAAATCCTTCTCTGTCTTCCCAACATCCTCCATTAACCCTAATTATCTTACGAGGCATGCCAACCCCTCTCACATCAAACTCCTTCCACGCCACTATGTGCCTATCGAACATAATAAGGAAAGGTCCTCAATTATGGTACGTGCTAATTCTAATGAACTCAGGCCTTCATCAGCATCCGCGGTCGCATTAACAGAGATTAAGGCAGTAACCATAAGGGCTGTGGTTACAGTCCAGATAAGTGTTGGTAACTTCATCTCCACCATAGGCTTGACTCGGCCCCTCGATGACCTTGCCGATGTGTTCGGCGGAACCATGCTTTTGGAGCTTCTTAGCGCCGAGCTTGACTCCAGTAAGCTGTCATTAGTATTACTGCTTGCATACATACACATTAACATCATTAAGTCGTACCAAAGAATAAAAGATAAAAAAATAAAATATAGTTTTAATCTATAATTTCCTGTTCTTTTCGTTTCTTTCATATTGGAAAATTGAAGTCCATGATATTTGAAAGGGTGCTTTAGATTTTAGCTCTTACAATTCGTGATTCCTAGATAAAAACTCATCTACATATAAACATCCAATAAAAGTCCAAATTTAAAATCTACAGTCACATCGGAATACTATTGACCTACTAATACATTTTATTTACACCCATGCCACTTTCCCAAATCCCTAAATTTATTCCAAATTAAAAGTTGTAGAAAAAGTGAAATAAAATATCTAAACTATTGTATTGCATTAATTGTATCCATATCATACCAAAAATTTACCTTTTTTGAGATATATATATATTTTGCATTAATTGGGAAGTAAATTAATTTGTTCCAATTATTAAAAAAAATATATACTAAATCCATATTATATATTTTGAATCAAATAACACTTCTCTAACTTGTAGGTAAATTATTTTTCATGTATTGTTACATATTTTAGGCACGTTTTAGTGTTGTATAAATATAGGTATGACATAATATTTTTCAATATAATACATCAAATTATATTTCTTCTTGTCATGGGTAAATTATTCTCCATGTATTAGTGAAAAAAAGATATTATATTACAAACGGGGTATAATTTTTTATAGGTAAATTATTGGAAATTAATTTGTAGGTATGTAAATTAATTTGTTCCAATTATATATAAAAATACACACACACACACACACACACACACACACACACACTACACCTAGATTATATATATATAAATATTCTTTGTTTTTGAGAAAACCTAGATTATATATTTTGAATCAAATAACATTTTTGTATACATGGTACATAAATTATTTTTCATGTATTATTACATATATTAGCCTATTAGGGACATTTTTTGGTAAAAATATATAAAGTAATATGTATCTGATTGCTTGTAGGTAAAAGATAAAATCAAAAGCATGATCCAATTCCTATGTTTATGCAATATTTTGTTGTTGGTATATGCAATATTTTGTTGTTGGTATACATTATTTTGCATAATTGTAAATGAACATTTCAAATAGTACGTAGGTAAACTAATATGGTCTAATTATATAAACACACACACACACACACACACACACACACACACACACAGTGACAGCCCGTCCCGAATTATTCGTACCGTAGGTGTGAAATGACGATTTTGCCCTTGGTGGGTATTTGTCATTTTGGGATGTTGTTTAATTGTTTTTAGGGGGTTGACTCTACAGGACCACACACCTACACCCATATCATCTTCTCCTGTGCTCTCTCTATTGTAGACTCTCTCTCTCTCCTTCTCACTTGTACGGACGAGACTCAAAACCCTTGCAAACGTAACGGATCGAAGTGGAAAATGGTACCTTTGTGTTCGTGATGATCATACGAGTTTAACCATACCAATTTCAGGTAAGGAATCCTTCGATTTCACGTCAAACCAAGAACCTCTGATTTTGTCAATATTCATGCACATGTGAAATATTGTTTTTCAGGGAATTTGAAGCTTATAGGAAGCTTAGGGAGGTCCTTAGGAAGCTCAGGGTGGTTCGTTGGGTGGAATTGGACGTCGAGAAAGCTAGTTTTGAAATTGGTCAGTTTTTCTCGAATTTTTCCGGCTAGATCTTGTGATCTTTGAGGTTTCAAACAGGTATACCGTTGTTCTACTCATCTCCAGCTTTCCATTGGTGCAAGTTTCATAGAAATTGGTGAAGAAACGAGTGAGAACGAAGGGTTTAAAGTTTTTTCCAGGTTTCCGGCGACCGGCAACTCGCCGCAGAAGAAGACGGAATATTCCGTCAGTTAGGACGGAATATTCTGACGCCGTCAGTCAGATTTAACGGAATCCATTAGGGTTTAACGGAATATTCCTGACGGGGTTAACTGATGCCGTCAGTGTGACTGGCATTTGGCCGCGAGTGGGGGGCGCGTAGGTCCGTGCACTTGCCGGAGCGTGGCGGCGCGTGGGGTCTCGAAAAATTATTTTAAAAATATGGGGATGTTCGTGAGGTTGAGTAGATCACGTTGGTTTATCCAAACATCCCATTTGAGCATTGTATGAGAAGTTATTACCTAGTTTTGGTTATGTGCTTTAAATTGACGTTTTTATAGTTGTTTCGCATATAGGTGAGACCTATCCTGAGGACGAGCGCAGTCACTCAAGGCAAGGGGGTTACGACCCTTTCACATATCAGTAAGTGGGCTTTTGGTTTTCCGTATATACCCATATACTTGTGGTTTTTCCCAGAAAATGAAATGGAATGTTTATATGTTTTAAGTGACATGCATAGTGTTTACCTATTTATTTATGCATTAGTAGTTGCATATATGTATGTTTGGTGTTGCGGACGCACAGGTAAGTGCCAGGTAAGTTTATGGTTTATGATTGTGAATTAGTGGTTATGTGAGATGCATAGAGAGCTCATAACCTACACCCCTGGTGTTAGTGCTCTTGCCCAGAGTAGGGCACAGTCATTCACGTGATGTTCACCTTTCGCATCACACGCTCATCTTGGATCCAAGTTAGGTGCACAGTCTTGTTGTACAAACCACTATAGGTGGTTCCGACTCGTAGGTGATCTGCGATTATTCGCCCAGTTTTCACGTGATCGTAGCACTTGAGCGTATTTATTTACACCCAGTCATGTCGTACAGACCACTTTAGGTGGTTCCGACTCGTGTGCAGGTATAGTTAGTGAGTTAGGGATTTGAGCTCTAGATTCAGCCGTACATGTCACGTTAGGTAACTCCGGCTGACATGTTACTTGCATTGATTGACATTAGCTGGGTCACTTACATTTTATGTGGAGGCATTCGACATGGCATATTTCTGAACATGTTTTCGATATATGTGTATATTCTATTTTTCTGGGAAATTATATAGGTTTTACAGAGAGGGGTTAGAACTTTTGAGAATGAAGTGATTTTGAAAACCTTTGTTTTTGCCCACTCACACTTTCTGTTTTGTGCCCCTCTAGGTTCTAGTTAGAAGCAGCTTTGGTGGTTCATGAGGACTTGACGGTGGTTCTGATAGAACATCACAAATGTAGGATCACCTTTGGGTGTTGTGTAATTAGTATTCGTTCTTCTGGACTGCACTTAGGCTTTCTGTGCTTTGATTATGTTTATCACACTTAGTCTCGCATTAGTGTGTTACTTTAACTAGCTTACTTAGTAGTTTGGTTTGTATTTATTCATACTTTAATTATTATTATTATTATTGCTTCTGCACTGTGCACATGACTACGTCACCCTCGCGTGACGACCAACACGCCTTGATTTCGGTCGGGGTGTGTCAGTTTGGTATCAGAGCATAGGTTTGGCAGTCCTGCATATTTTGTGAGTGTTCTAATTGTTTTGGTGTCTTCTGTCAGAACTATGCCGCCTCGTAGAGAACCACGTCACTCAGTTGAGCCTAGTTTCCCCGATATAGCTCAGTTGGGGGAAGTTATTGCTACTGCCATTTAGTATGCGCTTCGCCCTACCCAGATGACTCCTCTGGAGACCATGTATAATCTAAAGCTGGATAAGTTTGAGGGTCATGAAGGTTATGAGGGTGCTAAGCGGTGGCTGGAGCATATTGAAAAGACTTTTCGAGTGTTGTAGAGGTAGGGAAATCTTCCTTCTGAAAGGTGGGTTAAGACGACCTCATGGTTCTTAGGTAAAAAATCGGCATCCTGGTAGGAACAGGAGGTTCGTCATTTGACCCCAGAGGGAAGAGCTGACTGGAAAATGTTTAAGCAGTTGTTTAGGAAAAGGTTTGTTCCCCTTGAGTATATTGATCGCAAGAAGCAAGACTTTATTGAATTGAAGCAGGGGAAGTTAACGGCGAATGAGTACTATTGCAGATTCACTGATTGGTTTCAGTGTTGACACACCTACTAGAGGTGGACTTTATCAGTGCAGTAATGAAACCAGTTTTGTGTCTTAATAACATTACTGATTATAAAGTCGTAAAATCCGCCAACAAGTAGGAAGAGATAAATTCGTGCAAAGGAGATTTATATGTATTACAAAAATTGTGTGATTCTGAATTTTTAACACATTAACATTTTTTTCCCCTCTATTTTAGTGATATGCTAATTTAATCTAACTACAAAGGAGGGAGAAATGGGATCTAACTTGGGCGCAAAGTGTTTTATCTGCTGATTATACAACCCTGGTGTTATGTTGCAGAAACATATTTTTTATTGTAAAACTGTGAGCGTTAGTAACTGTGTCAATATTACAGACCCCTTATCAGAAAAAAGAAGCAGCAGTGTGTATGTACCAAAAGATGAAACATTTGTAGAGATGAAACAACTAACATTCTCGATAAAGGCCCTCAAATATGTGTTGCACGCATTGGTTCCTACACTTGAGATGACGCTTATTAATCCGGACTTGGGATTTCCGTACTTCACAGCCATAGATTCACTGTTTAATGAAGGTGTCACATTGCCTAAGTAAAAAACTGGTGGCTTTTTTCAGACAATTGTCCCAAGGCTAGTCAAGATTATCATTGATGGACAAGACGATCTTTTGCTCTTCGATACCCCTGAAATACTTGATCGTATGCCTCCTTGGACTTATCTTTCATACATAAAAAGATATATGTGTGTGTCTTTGTTTGCACAAGTAGAACTTTAAAAGAATTATCCTCCTTTAAGGAAAAGAAAATGTTAGACTGTTGGGCACATTTGGTAATGTAAATGCAGATAGTTACCTAATCTCTGGATTATGCTATCTTCTTTTGTAGGTGATAAATTTTCTTTATTTAGAGATGAAGAATTTTCCCGCCAAACTCTAGCTGGTCTTAATCCATATAGTATAGAGTTAGTAACGGTACGCTTTCCATTTTTATTTGCTAACACAATTCAATTCTATTCTTTCACTTCATAAAGAAAACTGAGTTAACCTGCATTTCCCTCTGAACCCCTGTCTTCCTTGGAGAACAAGCTAAACAACGAACTCTTCTGGATGCAGGAATGGCCACTGAAAAGTAAACTTGACCCTGAAATTTATGGCCCACCTGAATCATTGATCACAACAGAACTGGTAGAGAAAGAGATCAAAGGTTGTATGACTGTCAATGAGGTAACACATAAATACCAAAACTCCAATCTCTTTTTCATTTCTTGCTCTTTAAGTGGATAAGTTTCTTTCCCCACTATTGTGTCAAACTTTAAATCGTTTTAATTTTGTGTGTGTGTGTAACTTTATTTTCTGTATGACAAAGTCTACTTGAACTTGCAATACAGGCCTTAGAAGGAAAAAGGATCTTTATTTTGGATTATCATGATTTGTACATGCCTTTTGTGAACAAAGTAAGAGAGATTGAAGGGACAACATTGTATGGTTCTCGAACACTATTCTTCCTCATTGAGGACGGAACATTGAGACCTGTCGCCATTGAACTCACTTGGCCACCCGTTGGTGACAAGCCACAATGGAAACAAGCATTCACCCCAACTTGGGATGCAACCAGTCGGTGGCTGTAGAGGCTCGCTAAAGCCCATGTTTGTGCTCATGATGCTAGCTATCATCAGCTTGTTATCCACTTGTAAGAAAATATGTGCCTCAGTCATGCCCCTTCCAACTCAAGCATGGATCTAATGTTACTAAGATTTTTGGAATCAACAATTGTGTGACTAAATCGTGGGTGGGTACTTGTTTGCACTTATATTTTCATAGGCTTAGGACTCATTGTTGCACGGAGCCATATATACTTGCAGCTAATCGACAATTAAGTGCAATGTATCCCATCTATCAACTTCTACATCCTCATTTTCGATATACAATGGAAATCAATGCTCTGGCTCGAGAAAGCCTCATTAATGCCGGTGGAATCATTGAGAGCAGTTTCTCACCAGGAAAGTACTCCATTCAGCTTAGTTTGGTTGCTTATGACCAACTTTGGCGTTTTGATATGGAAGCTTTGCCAGCAGATCTCATCAGAAGGTATTTTACATGATAAAACAAAGAATAGTAATGCTATCAAGAGTTTAGACACACAAAAATGACACTGTCATCGACACACTTTCTAAACAGGCTAGTCCCAAATATAATAGGAAGGTCTACTTGTGCTTGTGTCTTAATACCCACTATTGTTAAACAAATATGAGACTTATCCAAGCTTTGTACACGAATGAATTCTGGATAGAGGAATGAAAATTCATCTAATAAATAATCACTAATGTTAAATTTCAGGGGAATGGCAGTTGAGGATCCTACCTCTGAGCACTGTCTGAAGCTAACAATTGAAGACTACCCATTTGCAAATGATGGTCTTATTTTGTGGAATGCCATTAAGGAGTGGGTGAGTGACTATGTGAACCACTATTATCCAGACCCAGCTCTTGTTGAGTCTGATAAGGAGCTTCAAAGTTGGTGGACAGAAGTTAGAACCAAGGGCCATGCAGACAAGAAAGACGAGCCATGGTGGCCTGTTTTGAAAACCCCAGAAAATTTGATTCACATTTTGACAACCATAATTTTGGTAACAGCTGGTCATCATGCAACTGTGAACTTTGGCCAGTACATGTATGCTGGATACTTCCCCAACCGACCTTCAATCGCTCGAACCAACATGCCAACTGAAGATCCATCTGAAGAGGTTTTCCAGAACTTTTTGAGGAAACCAGAAATGGCACTACTGATGTGTTTTCCCACACAGGTTCAAGCAACAAAGGTGATGGCTGTCTTAGATGTGTTGTCAAATCATTCACCAGATGAGGAAAACATTGGTGAGAATATGGAGCCATCTCGGGCTGAAAATCTTGTCATAAAGGCTGCATTCGAGCGTTTTAAGGACAAGGATTGTATGCCCTCCCACTTCCGGTGCCCTCCTGTTTTGTGTGGTCACGGTTAAGCCACGTCAACATTTTATATTGTTTTTTTTTATAAAGATAATAAGACTTTTATGAATAGTAATATAAAAGGTTGACGTTGCTTAACCGTGACCACACAAACAGGAGGGCACCGGAAGTGGGAGGGCAAACAATCCTTCTCTGCGTTTTAATGGCAACTTGAAGAAGTTAGGAGGAATTATAGATGGAAGGAATACCAATCTAAACTTGAAAAACAGAGTTGGAGCTGGGGTTGTTCCATATGTGCTT